AAAGTCTAATCTGTTTCTCTGTATTTCCATTCAAGACATTGATATCGCTACCTCCAGGAGTATGTTTATGTTTTTTAACCAGCGAAATACAAAAATGTCAATCAACCATTTTACAGTCTCATATTTGAATATACACTTGCTTACATTATCACATTGTGAGGCCTCGATTCCTTTTGAGGGACAAGAAACTGTGATTCTCCTGGAAATAGCTGTTGGGAAAAAAGCCCTTTGATGTGATGGAAACATGTGTTTGTTTGTGTGTGTTTCAGTTGTATAATTTTGGAGAAACGGTGTCTGTAGTGTTTTGGACAGAGACGTGGAGACCAGAGAGCTTCTACGACAAAATTTGTAAAAACCGAACAGCTGGACTGCACACACTCTGTCTGCTGGGTGAGGCTTGCACACAAAGACAGACAAATCTCCTAAAATAAAATCCACAATATCCAAGATATAAATTATAAAATTATAAGGATAATCGAATACAATCATATATATTTGAAACAAAAAGCGATACCACTGAAATTTTCATGTTAAGTGGCCAAAAAGCAAACAATGAAACATTATTTTCTAAACTGAATTGAAATCGTTTCATTAACAAAGTAGAAAATATATTATAATCCTCTGATACATATAGTTTCATATATCCAAGAAAAGTAGTACAATTTAGTAAAAAATAAATGATGAAATAAGGCATTTTAACATAAAAACATATTGAAAATGTAAAACATTATTGAAAATATCCAAACAAAAGGTCTGAATCAAAACACAGTCATTGTGAATTAATCTGAAATAATGCTGATGGCCATCTGAGGCTCTTTTATTTTTTTCTGTAATGAATATTTAAAACACACCCACTCACCAGCAGGTCATCCACCTCCCACTGGACTCCTAATTTATGGGTGTTTGGGGCATTTGGGGTCCCTGGGATGATTGATGCTGGTGTCCGTACCTCATCTATTACTTCTCCACACACACATTTACAAAAGAGCACGGCCATGTTTTTTGACTTCACAAACACGGCAGGACACCCAGATGAGCCATTTATTTATTTCAAGAATTGACTATGATTTTGGACATGTTCATAAGTAAGTAAAACAACAACAGTGATGAAAAAAGCTGCGTCATAATTAAAAGATATTATTACAGACACTGCACAGCTTAAAATAGAGCGTTAAATAAAATATTACGAAAAAATAACAGCCATACTGTTACATGATCAGTGAGATCTCTCTTTAGTTGACGGAAAATAATAAGATTTCACCCTACTTTAGATTTTTAGTTGGCCAGAAGTGCAAGTTTCATGGAAACCCAATTTTGTGAATGCGATAAATCAAGAATAGGGCGACATAGGAGCTTCAAATTGATGCCATAGGTGTATTTATTTAAATAATCAGTGACCTTGACCTCAAGGTCAGAGGTTTTCTTAAAATTGTGTGAGTGAGATAACTCGGGAACAAGGTGACATATTTTTGAAATCTGTACTATGGGTGTGTGAGGGATAGCACTGGCGGTCGACAGTATTTTTTTATATAATGTTTTTTTGTAATGTTATGTGGTTTGTTGTCTAAACCTCAAGAACCTTCAGTCTGCAATATGACAGAAATTGTTTACCAAATTGGTAACTGGGTAGCTGTGGCTCAGGAGGTAGAGCAGGTTGTCTACTACTGTCCATGGATGCACTCATTACAGTGAGAATGTTAGATAGAAAGCACTTAGGCACAGAAAAAGTGCTTGTGTGAATCGGTGAATGAGGGTTGTACTTGAAGTGCTCTTAGTGCTCAACCAGAGTAGAAAATGCTCTATAAAAACCAGTCCATTTACCAGAATACTTACTTTCATTCTTATCCATCCATTCTCTTCTGCTTAGTTAATTTCCTGTGCTTGATTCTAGTAAAAATAAAAGCATGGTTTGGAAATGTTTTGTAAATTCTGTACTTGCATGGTGCTTTTCTAGTTTGACCACTCAAAGCATTTTTTTTACCACAAGCCTCATTTACCCAACACACACACACTTTTTTCTGCCTAAGTGCTTCTATCTAACATTAACACACTCACAGTAATGTGTGCATCCGTGGCAACTTGGGGTTGAGCATAATTTAACATGCAAATCGACAAGCTAGGGATTGAACTACCAACTTCCCAACCCACTCTGTTCCCTGAGCCGCATCCATTTTTAACAGGTGAGAATTTTTATTTAAAATAAAACTGACACATTTCTGTGCAATATTTTACATTGGATATTAATTTAAAGGGATATTAGAAAAATACAAACAGTAGATTTTTTTTAAAATCAAATGGTTTGTTGGGACTGTTGGGGTGTAAGTGCACGTTTAGTTCTGAGATTAAAAGTAAAAACAGTGCGAGATGTGTTTAATACAGTTTTCTTCTTCTTTTGTTTTTATTGTTAGATATTAAAGTCAAAGAGCAGAGCATCGAGAACATGATGAGGTAAGAATCAGATCCAGATCACATCCACAACCACCTCTTGAGTGTTAGAGATCTCGCCATGTGAGGTCTGTTATTTTCTGACTTAACCCTCAGTCAGCGTTTGTCAGAACCAGAAACCCAGACCATGTCCACATGAGGTTTTAGCGTGGCTTATCTGCGTAGCAATTTAATAAAACAAATTATAGATGACGTCTTATCTCATAGTGTATTCTTCACGTGCTATATCAAAAGCACATTCTCTGCTGATTCACCCACTAATTACATTCACAGTATTCACTTACTGTGTCTTTAGGGATTCGCTATCTTAGCTCAGCTCGTTACCGACTCGCTAGCAGCATGGCCTCTTCACCGTCCCTCCTGCACTTTCCTGTTCATCATGTTAGATGTTTAGTTACTCCTCAGCCTCCTTTAGTAATAACAATACTTGTAATGATTATAGCCTGTTTGCAGCTCCAGGATCACTGAATGGGAGATCCGGCTTTGCACACTCGGAAAAAACCCGTAGGGCTAACACAGAGACAACTACTTGCCATTTAGATTCACCAATTAACTCAACTCCACTTGGATTCAGGGGACAGACACTATCTCTACTTTTAAAATTAGGCTTAAAACTTTCCTTTTTGATTAAGCACATAGTTAGGGCTGGATCAGTGACCCTAAATCCTCCCTTAGTTATGCTGCAACAGGTGTAGGCTGCTGGGGGATTCCCATGATGCATTGAGTATTTCTTCTTCAGTCACCTTTCTGGCTCAGCATGTGTTAATAGACCTCTCTGCATTGAATCATTACTTATTATTAATCTCTGGCTCTCTTCCACTGCATGTGTTTTGTTCCGTCTTCCTCCCCTGAGCTCGGTTCTACTGGAAGTTTCTTCCTGTTAGCTTTTCCTTCCCACTGTTGCCAAAGTGCTTGCTCATGGGGGGTCATATGATTGTTGGATTTTTCTTATTATTGTAGGGTCTACCTTAATATATTAAGCGTCTTGAGGCGACTGCGGCCGTGATTTGGCGCTGTATAAATAAAATTGAATTGAATGATTAATTCTTTGAACTGGTCAATTGGCTTAAATCAATTGGCCTTAGAACTGAAAAAGCTTCTCAGATTAGAGGTGAAGCATCTTTGGGATATTTAAAGAAGTTCAGTGGCTTTTCAAGGTCATCAGGAGACCACATAAAGTTTGGAGGTCAGTAGCAACTCTGCAGAAAGTTGGTGACCTCTGCGCAGTATGTATCTCAGTATCCATTACTTTGTTATAATAGCACTAACAGCTGATCGTGTAACATTTAGTAACAAGGAATTTTCACCACTGGACTTGTTGGAAAGCTGCCATCCTATCACGGTACACTCTGGGATTCACAGAGCTCCTGTGACCCATTCTTTCACAAATGTTTGTAGGTGTTTGATTTTATAAACCTGTGCCCATGAACACCTGAACTCAATGATTTTAGATGTGCAACTGAATACTTTTGGTAATATAGCATAGTTTCAAAGTTTTCTTGCACAGATGTGAAGGTTTGAATTAAAGGAGAATGACATGTGGTTAAAGTGAATCTTTGGTTACTGATTTTAGAGGGAAGAAGATCTATGAGCCTCCTCGCTTCATGACAGTCAGCCAGGCTGCAGATCAGCTAATACAGGTCATCCAAAGGAGGAGGGAGGAGGGCGAGGAGTTGGGTGAGTCATACCTGACATGCGAGTACTTTCTATCAATCCCATATTTGTTCAGATTGAAGTTCTGGTACAGTCATCAGTTAGAAGGAAAACGATAATAAAGTTTACAAAAAATATTGCAGTACTGTGTTTTATCTTTAGGATAGTCTGAACCACGACTTTGATAGGAGTAGAACCAGTAGCATGCTAACAGTCTTGAAAGTCATGTGTCTGATTGGACCACCTCATTTTTCCTTAAAGAGCCAGTCAGCTGTGTTCGCTGCAGCTCTTAAACTCATGAGTCTTTGCCCCCCTTTTCCAGGCATGACGGAGGACACTGTGTGCGTTGGCGTGGCCCGACTTGGCTCTGATGAACAAAAGATCCGTGTAGGAACATTAAATCAGCTGGTGTCATGTGACCTCGGTGCTCCACTCCATTCGCTGGTCATCACCGGTCGACTCCACCCGTTGGAGGTGGACATGCTGCGAGTAAATGCAGAACCAAACGCACTGGAAAACCTGCACATGATTGACAGCTCAACCTACACCTCTTGACACACTTGTTCACCTGCTTGTCTACAACTACCATTAGTGACACACTATAATCCCAGGCCCCAAATGGTAAATTAAACTGCACCGTGAGGCAGACCTTGAGCCTTTCCAATTAACGTTGTTGTTGTTGTTGTTGTTGTGTGATGTTTTAGACTGAATTGGAAATTTTGGGGAAGTTGAAGACATGTCATCACCGTGACCTTCCCATGCTCATTTCTTTTTCAAGGTTCCAAGTTTCATAGATTTAACTTTTCTTAATTGCCCTTCATAAAAACAGCTATACAAGGCTGAGTCATTAGTCAGGATTCAGTGGCATTAATATTAAGCATTTCCCTAATTCCCAAACTCTGAATCTTTTTGGGGCCAAAAATGTTCCCTCACAAAGAAGTCACAAACACAGATGCAGAAAAAAT